AGCATTTATTACATCAACAGATTAGCTTTTAAAGCTAACTAAGTTTATAGTATTAAAAGTGATTTGAGTTCTGCCAACTTATTCGGGTTTACAGTGAACTACATAGATTTAAGTTATAGTAACTAATTAGTACTATTAACTTTATTTACCCAAGTTATATTAACAATAAGTTATTGAGTTATTTTTTATGCTTAAATTGTTTAACAATAAACGTAATAAAATAAACTTTAATTTAATAAATGTAATAAACTTAAATGATTTAAGGCAATCGGTTTCCTCAAACGGTTTGAGTTGAACTAACTCATCAGGTTTTACAGTGTATAGGCGGGTCCACAACGCGCGTACACTCTGCTTATTACACACACAGACACACAGGGACGCGGAGAAGCACACAAACATGCCAAAAAGTAAAAAATAAAAGGATTACAATTTGGGAGATAAGATCCTGATTGGTTTATCAACTTACACCCAAAACACACCCATTAAGAGAATACGGACAACCTTTTTAGTCCATGCGCCAGGAGCTAGTTAAACTAGCAAAAGTTGATTCTGACGCCCTAAGTCCACTTGCACCATGCGCTTTAGAATAATACGCTTAGATTGTTAAAATAGGGCCCTTAGGTAACTAGAAATTGTTTCCCGCGGGTATTAAAAGTGCTACTTTGATTGCAGCAGGAAAAGTTGTTGAACATAATATAAATGAGACTCAGTGAACTAGTGTGAATTTAAGTCACAGTGGACATGAGGATAGGAAAGTCTTTCCATGCTGTAAGCAGACAGGTGGGCAGCCAGTCAGGAAGAAAAACACTCTGTAGTCTGGTGTAGTCTGGGTGGGCAGGACCAGTACAAGTTAAGAAAAATCAATAGCAAGGCGTACATGTGTGGAATGGAGCTGAGGCTTATTAGAGCAGTTAGGGATTATCTGAGACTGGATGCTCAACGCGTTATGTGCCGAGAAAAAACAAAAGTATATTGATCACGCCTTACACAAATGCCGAAAACAAATTGATTTTGTCAGGAATTGTTTGTTTGATCCCACAGAAGAGATGCCACAGCACCTTCGCGCAACAAGCCAGAACATGTTTTCTAATAGTCGCTGCTGTGGTTTTAAGCGTTTGCCCTATGACTCATCTATAACCCTCTTCACATCACTTTTAAATGACCTTCTTCACACTTCTCTAGGTCTGAGTTCTGCATATTTCAGATCACTTCCATGCCTTCAGATCACGTGGACGTGACTGTGGTAACAAGAGGTAAAAACGATATAAATGCTGTTCGTTTTCTCACACAAACCGCTCGTTTCGTGTCTTAGGCCATCAATGTGTACTTACATTTACGAGTCATTAAATCATGTTTAATTTGGACTTTGCATTATATGACTGACAGACAAGAACGGTTTGACCTAAAAATATCAAAATTGAAAACACTGCGGAAACAAAGACACCTACATCTTGGATGCCCTTGAGGTAAGATAAAACATACCAAAAATTAATTTCAAAGTGAACTATCCTTTTAATGTCATGTGATATTGGTTACACTTTATTTCAATGGTCCACTTTATACATTCTACTAAATATAAGTAACTATGCAACTTAATGTCAATTATCTCTCATTAGACTATTATTAGACATGTAGTTGACATGGAAAATACTTAGTAGAATGTCCAAAGGACCATCAAAATGAAGTTTTACAGTGATATGTATTTAATTTTGGTCATTTTTTTCTGACTGGTTGGTTTGACTCATTGGATACCTAAATGATAATGAGTTTAATCCTTTGTTTTAGGACATTTCTTATAGAATTATTGATATTAAAGAAAGTTTGTCTGGATTGTACCAACTTTTTGTTTTTTTGTTGTACTGAACTTGGACTTTGTTGAGTTGATTCGCTTGTTAAAAACATTACAATATGAAATAAATGCGGCAATTTTCCATTCTTGTGGTGGGACTGCCATCAATTTGAGAGCACTCACAAGCACTTTTCAAGGTGAAATTGAATGGAAGGTCTTCTCTCACAGAAGCTAAACTATCCAAGTGGCCATTAGAAGGTGAAAGCAGGCACCTCTGACAATACGCTACTCCTTCCGGATCTCCGGTGATTGCCAGTGAACTGTGAAAAGCACTGGAGTGCATGTCATCCACAGGAGACTGGGAACGAAATTGAGCTGCCTGTTGCGTTACATTTTCATTTGCCGGAGAAGTCCACGGAAGATCTTGATAGGACAGGTGACAGTTTGTTACTGCCATAGTCTGAGCTCTTCAAGTAAGGTAAAGAGAAATGTGAGTGGAAGGCTTCAGAAAATAAAATACTTCACTGAGGCTCGTTTTAGCAGCCGTGATGGTTTTCACAACTTTTTTTTGTTTGTTTTTTTCACAACTTTTTTTTTGAAAAACTTTTTTTGGTTTGTTTTAAGCTTACTTTTCCAGTAATCCTGACTCAATAAGTCCTGTTTTCTATGGGAGTTTGTTTGGGCTAAAAATAAAAAAAAAGGTAATGGAGAATTCTCTGAATGGCGAGCTTACTTCTGGAAATTCAGATGTTATAATTTATAATTGCGAGTTTATATCTCTCAATTGCTAGAAAAATGTTAGAATTGCGAGTTAGCATCTAGAATTTTAAGATTTAAAGTTTAAATCACTTAATTCTGACTTTATTTCTAGCAATTCCGAGTTTATAAGTCTCTGACTATGAACTTGGAATGTAAACTCGGAATTGCTAGAAAAATAATTGGAATTATGAGATAATACTTGCGAGTTTATATTGCAAATATAAACTTACAATAAAAAAAATAATTGCGACTTTTTATATTACAATCTTTACTTTTTTCTTGTAATTCTGACTTTTATCTCATATTTTAGACTAGTTTTCACACAATTCTGAGTTTATTTCTCATAATTTAGAGGGAAAAAAAACTAAATTGCGAGAAAAATAATTAGAATTATGAGATAAAAAGTCACAATTATCCTTATTTAATTGCGAGTATATATATCATACATTTTTTCTTGCAACTCCAAGTATAAAAATATGAACTCGCAATAAAAAAGATAATTGCGACTTTTTATATCACAATCTTTACTTTTTTCTTGTAATTCTGACTTTGTATCTCATAATTCAGACTATTTTTCACACAATTCTGAGTTTATTTCTCATAATTTAGAGAAAAGGCCAGAATTTCGAGAAAAATAATTAGAATTATGAGATAAAAAGTCACAATTGTCTTTATTTAATTGCGAGTATATATCATGACTTTTTTCTTGTAATTCCGAGTATAAAAATATAAATGTGCAATAAAAAAAAAGATAACTGCGACTTTTTAAATCACAATCTTTACTTTTTTCTTGTAATTCTGACTTTGTATCTCATAATTCAGACTATTTTTCACACAATTCTGAGTTTATTTCTCATAATTTAGAGAAAAAGCCATATTTGCGAGACAGATACTCACAATTATGACTTATTTTCTCGCAGTTAATATCTCACAATTCAATTTTTTTTACTCACAATTAATTTTTTTCTCAGAATTGAGTGAACAACATTGAGTTATTTGCGAGTTTTGTGAGATATAAAGGCCACAATTAACCACTTTTCTACCTTTTTCTAACTTAACTTTTCTACTTTGTGAGGAAATCACATAAATTTATAGTTTTTTTTTTTTTTGGTTTGTTTAATTTTATTTATTTATTTATTGTATGCAACACCAAAAGAAAATTGAGATAAAAATAATGTGGCATATTATGGCTTGCATTTAAACTGACAACATTGCAAACATTTTAGAAAAATGTATTTTTTTTTTGCCTAGATATTCTCTTTTGAAAAACAAAAGTAATCTCACTTTGAACATTAATGGAGACAAACAACATCTGCCCCGCATGTTTGGTTAAGTGCTTTTCAAATTCATAGCATTTCACAGCATTCATCAGCTCAGAGTTAAATTTCACTGAACATTTAAAGGATTCACTCCGAAAATGCTGGTCCATTTCCAGTACAGCTGTTCTTGTGTTTTGTTCAGAATTATTATGTGCGTCCCGGAGGTTGCTCGGTCAGGAATGCTTTTGTCAAGTGTAAATGTTTCTCCAGCAAACAGAACAGTGTCATTGAGTGTCGGCTCAATGCAGGGCCACACTGGGCAGCCGGTGTGATGTTGGTCAAAATGTCATTGAAGTCGATTCTTGTTGCCATTATTACTGCACAGGAGTCATTTTCTGTAAGTGATAGAAAGCGCTCCCTTGGTTTTCCAAGAGGCGTTCTCAATATTCCTTTCAAATCTTAAACCTTTGAGACTAAAAGCTACATTTGTATATATGAGAGTATACAGTAAGTGCTCTTTTTATTCTTGTAAAAGAAGATGATTATGTATTTCGAGGTTCCTTTGATAAATTTGCATTGTTGAATTAAGCTCCGATTGTTCAATAGGAGGCCATTATTCCTACATCACGTGCAATTTGACTCTGAGCTTTAGTGCTTTTGCCCTAATACACATATTTTTTTACTTCAATATTTTTATTATGTGGTAACCGTTTTATAAAAGCAATAAGGTACTCGAGGCAAGTGCTGTATCGTGAATAAGTAACGGCTGAAGGGGTTACTGCGCTTTGCGTCGTGCCAAACAACGCCCTCCAGATGTTACTTACTACAGCACACGATACAGCAAAGCTTCTCGTACCTTGTTGCTTACCTTAGCACTAAAAGTTGCTCTTGAATAATAAATTAATATATCTACCATGTCAAGGTGCATTTTTCAGATGATAAAGACAGACAGACAGACATAGAGACAAACATATAGATAGACAGATAGACAGATAGACAGATAGATAGATAGATAGATAGATAGATAGATAGATAGATAGATAGATAGATAGATAGATAGATAGATAGATAGATAGATAGATAGATAGATAGATAGATAGATAGATAGATAGATAGATAGATAGATAGATAGATGATAGATAGATAGATAGATAGATAGATAGATAGATAGATAGAATGTATGGGTATACTTACATTTGCCTCTGAGTTTCTCTCGTTCTGTCCATCTCTCAGTCGGTGGTTCTGGCTCAGTGGTGAGGTATTCCTGTGGTTCATGAGTAAAACATTAAAGTCAAGGAGTTGATTTTACTTCCATTATCTTTATGATTCCCGAGCTGCAGGAGACGGAGGGTTTCATATGCAGGGCTCATCGGCTTCATTTTGTCTCATACTTCTAATATGTTTAAAATAAATGTAACAATGAACCGAGACATTTTATTACATGAAAAGTTTCTTATCATTAGTCTTGAGGTTTGCGCTCTCTAATATTTCAATTACTGCATGTATTCAAAGATTGTTTGTTTGTGTAGCCGCTCAGTATATCTATAGCCACTAACATTTTCTGGAAAACTCTTAAATGAAGACTTTCCAAAAAAATCTGGTCATTTCAAACACCTGACTTTCTTCTGTGGAACACAAAAGGAGAAATCCTGAAATTCGGTCACGTTTTTCTGTCAAAAAAAAAGAAGAAGAAGAAAACAAAAAAAACTTTTGTCAGGAATTAATTTTACTAGTTGATTTAATTTTATTTGTTCATTTATATTTATAAATTGAGTTAGGGACCTAGTGGCCGAGATTGGTATTGGAAAAACGAGAGTGTATATAATAAGTTTAAAATTAAAGTTATTGTAATATATATATGTATATATATATATATATATATTACTACTCACTGTAGTAATGTACTGTTAAATATATTTTTACATTGATTTAATTTTAATAATAAAAAAATATAAAATGCATTTATTTTAATTCAATTTAATCTATTTTCAATTTTAGTCAATTAGTCTATTTTCAAAACTATGCATATATTTATAAATCACATTTATTGTCCATAATCAGTTTTTTTTATTTGAAACATTATTGAATCAAAGTTTCTTTTACATTTTTTTATACAGTATTTCAAATTTTTATCAATGTATTTATTTTAATCCTGTTTTATCTTATCTTAATCTTTAATCTAATTTGTTTATTTACTTGTTTTTTAATCTTATATTTATTTATTTTGCATATTGTTAATCACATTATTTATTTATTTTAATCTAATTCATTTATTTACCTACGTTTTCTCTCTCGACTGAGGTCGCAAGTTTGAAAACCCCTGTTTTTAAAATGTACTAACACACTCCCTTCACCTTCTTCAGGGTTTCCAGTCGAATCAGCCATTAAAGACTAAAAATACAAATATGCCATAACTGCATAAATCAGTTCTGGTGATTGGACAATACAGTGTGATTGGATGAATAATGCTAAATGCTGTCAGTAGCAGTACCTGATTAACGCGTGATTGGATGGATATCAATCGTCTTCCTGCCGTTTGTCCTCTTGTTGAGTGACATGAACCATTGCGTTTGCCACCTTGTGATTGGTATTTTTTTTGGGCCCAATTTTGGCACAGATGCCTTTCCAGGCCTTGTAGCACCTCTCCCCCTCTCCAGAACACACTGGGTTGGATCAGGTCCCATAATCCTGTTATCATTGCAGTCTGGCCATTGATTAAAGAAAGCCAGGCTTTTACAGCCCTGACAGGAGAACCCCACGAGAGGAGCCAGTTCTGAATTATTCCTCTTTAGATCCATTTGCAGTCTTCGCTGGGATGCGTCCAGCTCAAGGGAGATGCTCAGGCTTCCCGAGCGCGTCCAGAAATGCCGAGGGATTAGAGCTTGTGGCAGTAGGAGGCCGATAGTATCTCAACGCTGTTTAGGCCCATATCTGCGGGAGGAGTCAGCCAGACATTGATTGCAGACAGTCAGGGTTGAGCGCCAGCTTTGATTTTGGCTAATCAGGCTTAATCATCGTCCCTCTGATTGGTGGAGAAGGGTCTGGGAATGCAGCCACTGTCAGCTTTATCTTGCCCGTTGACTCATGAGATCTGATCATACTGTTCAGTTTTGAGCATTTTTTGCCTCCTAGAAAAGTGTTATATCTGGGTCAGTGGCGTGACATGACATTTTTTTTTTTTCATTACGCACACATTGTCCCTGTTTTCAACATTGATCATATGATAAATTAGCCTAGAAATCTAGACGCACCCTAGCGGCAGCAAAAATTATTTTGCAGCAAAGTGTGGTCTAGCAACTCTCCGTTGACTTGCGAAGTGTAAAAATCAAACTCTGGTCCGGCCAATCACATCGTGTATAGAGTTGGTGGGCGGGCTTAACACAATGACGGCGGTTCTGCGCCGTGATTTCCTTAGGTGATTTCCCTGCTGCTTGAAAACAAATAACAATTAATAGGTAATTATCATTGCCATTTAAGTGAAATTACTGAACTTAAATATACAAGTTTGATAAAAATCATCATTAAAGAAGAAAATTTCAAATGGCATTTAGAGGCTTTTGCATCTGAACTCTTCATACATATATATATATATATATATATATAGCAGAAGAGACTTGTTTTAAAAATAAAATCTTACAGATCCAAGACTTTCGACTGGTAGTGTATATATACACATATACTGTATATATATATATATATATATATATATATATATATATATATACATATATAAATATTTGCAAAACCTTTGACCAATGTTTTCTTGGCACACTTTAGGCCCCTTAGTGCCTAATATATATATATATATATATATATATATATATATATATATATACTGTATATATATATATATATATATATATATATACATATATATATATATATATATATATATATATATATATATATATATATATATATATATATATATATATATATATATATATATATAAAACGATGCCCAATTGGCACTAAGGGGCCTAAAGTGTGCCAAGAAAACATCGGTCAAAGGTTTTGCAAATATTTATCTGCTTATTAAAAAAATAGAAAATAAACTTTTGTTAGCCAATTCAAATTGTACGATTTAGTATGAATCACATCATAGAAATTCATATGTAATTCCCACCTCAGAAAATTCGTAGTTTTCTCACAATGTTGCTCGAATTTTATGACAGGGCAAGGTTAGTTGTAAAATGTCATGTGGTGCAACACCCCCAAAACCATGTTCATGAATTAATAATGCTTTCTGTAAGGAAAAAATAGTATAACTTTTTACTAAATGATTACACCACATGACATATAAACATAAATATAAACCTTGCTTGAAAATGCCATTTTTTTAAACCATAATAAATATATATTACTAACATAATTACAAATAGTATATTTCTAAGAACTTGGCACATGCGTTTTAAACAAGATTTAAAGAGATTGGATTTTAGATGTATTGTGGATCCTGGGAACGCTAATGGAAATCATTCTCCAGGTATTATAGACCTCATCTGTTCGACCATACAAGCAAGCCTTTTTGACCCTGACGCCACATAAGTCGTCATTCCCTCAACATGTTTGGCGTGTGTCATCTCACAGCTGAAACTGAACGGGGACTGAGATTGCCCGGACAATGAGAGTAATGTATTCTCACAGCTTTGTGGCGGACAAGCGCTCTTTGTCTTTTTAATTGGGTTCACAAAGCTATGAGTGAAACTGAGATATGACTCCACGCATATTACAGAAATATAATAGGCTACCTATTTACTTTCTTTTTTTTTCTATTGCTGTAATTCATTATCCAACTCTATTGTCGTTTCATGTATTTTTTCAAAAAAGAAACTTTCATCAAATGAAGCATCAAACTCGAAATAAACAAGAATCGGCACACTGCCACTTCTGCTCAAAGGATTTATTAAAATGAACAACGTTTCGACCCAAAGGGTGTTGGGGGTTTATATCAGTGACTATGTTTACATGCAGCCAATAACCCGTTCAAAACCGGGATATTAGCAATAACCCGGTTGCGAACGGCCATGTAAACACCGGCAAAAACCCGAATATGCTCATATCCTGGATTTTAAAAACCGGAATATTATACCTGGGGTACCCCTTTTCTAACCCGAAATTTTGGTCACGTAAACGCGTATCGGCATATCCCTATAGTGATTTGTGTTCTGCGCATCTTCTATTCGCAAGGCATCTTGGTCTTTTGAGTAGAGAAACTTCTCGGCGCATACAAAAATCCGCTTGCAGTATACCGGAAGTAAACATGGCGAGACGCAGCACAGCATTCTTTTGGAGCGAGGTCAGTAACGTTACCAGCATCAAAGCGCAAACAAAGGCGATCGCTATCTTCCCCAAACTATTCATTATCCGCGTGCTGCTGCTGTTATTGTCTTTGGATACAGAAAGAAGAATCGGAAATGACGCATATTGCGTCTTAAGGTTGTCTGTACGTCCAGACACTAACCGCGCGTCACCGTTTACATCGGGATATTGCAATTGTATACAGGAGAAACTCTCTCTGCTCACGCATGTAAACGGGTTATTCCTAATGTTTCAGAAACCCGAATAGTGACCTTAACCTGACCATAACCTGAAAATTGGCTGCATGTAAACTTAGTCACACCTGACCTCATTGTGAACTAATTAACCATTCATCCAATGCAATAAGCACCTAATCAAACACAAATGTAATCACTAAAGCATCCAAAAAAACATGATAAAAAAAAATATATATATATATATATACACACACAAAGAATGTTCACAAGAAAAGTTTCAAATCAAACTCCATATTCAAACCTTTTGGAGTAAGAGTATGACGTGTGTGTACATATAAGTCTTCCCCCTGTTGTAATATCTTATTGATGTCACCACCCCTTCTGGCTACTCTTACTAATTGCATCTTCTACACCTATAATTACCATCAGGGACTGAAGAGAGATCGCTTAAAGACAATGATAAATTAGTGACAGATTTATATAGAAAGCCCACTGATGGAAACACAATATTACATGGTCAGAGTGTTCATCCTACTCGTTTGAAGAGAAGACTTCCGATTAGTCAGTTTAAAAGAATTCAAAGGATTTGCACATATAATGAAATGTATGAAACACAATGTAAAGATTTATGTGGAAGGTTTCCTGAGAGGGTGCATGCAGAGGCAGCGCGCTTTGGAAATATTGATCAGCAAGAATGCATTGCTAGAACACTGATAAATTATCTTGTATTATTCATTATTCTGCGTTAAGTAAGATTTTTGCACATATAGTGTAAACACTGGCATATTTTAAGGTCAGATCCCACAATTAGTCACACTTTAGTCCCTCAACGAGCCGACCAAGGGTTCAGTCCCTGATGGTTGTGGGTGTGGACAATGTGAACAATGTCATTTCACAAATAAATGTCACACTTTTAGTCATCCTCATTCTGAGAAACAGTTAAAAATGAAGGGAATAATTTCGTGTAAGACCAAAAACGTAATTTATATTACCAAATGCCTATGTGGTTTAGCCTACGCTATCTCACGACCAATTCGTACGAATTCGTACGAGTGATTCAAAAGTGGCTAATTCGTACTAATTCATACGACCTCACTAACGACCTTTGTCTAAACCCACGTGACGGTTATGTTTAGGGGCGGGGTCAGGGGTAGGTCATTCGTACGAATTCATACGAATTGGCTAATTCGTAAAATATGTACGATTTAGCAAAATCCTACTAATTCGTACGAGTGAGGTCGTACGAATTGTTACGAATTAGCCATCTCGTAAAATTCGTACGAAATCCCGTGAGATCGGGTTGGGTTTAGCACACATAGGTTTGAAAACGAGCATTGCAGGACATAGAAGTAATATATGTTTGAATGAACAAAAAAAAACAATTGTTGTTCATTTCAATGTTTTTAAACACAATTTGTCGACTCTTCGCTACTTTGGTTTAAAACAAGATTACCAAGGAGTGGTGACGTCAATAAGATATTACTAGAGAGGGAGGACTCTTATATTAATACTCTTCATACTCTTTCTCCAAAAGATTTGAATATGGAGTTGTGTGTGTATATATATATATATATATATATATATATATATATATATATCTTTACGTTTGTGTTTGATTAGGTGGTTATTGGATGAATGGTTAATTAGTTCACGAATGAGGTCAGGTGTGATGGTTCACACTGATATAAATTGTAACTTTCTATAATTGGTGCCTACATGACGAAGACCCTTTGGGTCGAAACGTTGTTCATTTGAATAAATCCTTGTGATAAATTTAAAGTGTGGCAATTCATTTTTATTTTGTGTTCTATGTATTTTGCCAATTATAATTTAAAACAACAGGAGTTTATTAGACTAATCTGCCTCACTCTCCTTGATTATGGGCTATTATGAGGTTTCGTAAGATGGATGTTATCATCACAAGCTAAAATTGTTCACAGCAACTACACCTAAATATATGTTTTAATCAAAAACTTTTGTCTAAAATGTTATCGCGACATGGGTATATATCAGCAACGCTGAATATTAAATAATTTTCTTTTAAACTTAGTGTTTTGAATCAACATTATTGCCTTTATTAATATATGTTCTATATATGAACTAAATGATAGTTCCTCTGAACCCCTCTACCTCCCCCAGCTCCACCTGCCTAGATCTGCTACATGATTTGTGTATGTCTATCAGTGTTGTTTTTGGCAGCCTTTTTAGTTTTAGACTTAGTCTCTTGGATGAAAATGCTTTTAAGTTTTAGTCACTTTTTAGTCACTTGTAAACTTAATAGTTTTCAAGTTTTAGTCAACGAAAACACCAAAAAGGTTTTAGTCAAGTTTTAATCGACGAAAACACAAAAATGTTTTAGTCAATTTAAAAAAAGTGGTCTTTAACAAATTATAAATAATAATAATAATCTTAAAACCTTTGCATAATAAACTAGACTTTCTCATTGATTGAGATGCAGTGCTGCCACAGCCGAGCTGTACTTCATTGTCACATTGGGCAGAAAACTTTTTCCTATTTCAAGTTATAGTTTTTCCATGAATATTAAATGCTATTTTTTTCACCAGTAATCACAGTAATTAAGGAATGGTTTAAAGTTTAAACAGCAAAAAAAAAAAAAAACCTTTGAGCTACTACAAAATTATCAACAGATAAAGTGGTAACAGTGGAATTATTTGGACAAATGCTGCTGTCCCGAGAATTTTAGGTTTGTGTGTTAGCACCCCCCACTAACACAATGGTTGTCTATGTGCACTGGAACAATCCTTCACAAATCACATTAAACTTTACTTTATAAAGACATGAAACTCACTGGATGTTCACTGATACTCACACAAAAATCGCTGCAAAAGATGCTTTCCAACAGGTTTTATCATAGTTTTTGTCCGACTCCACTGACTTGGTACAAAAACTACGATAAAACCTGTGTTGT